TATTGAGAATAATTATTATCTTTTCTGACTTAAAATTTCGAATTGTAGTGATACTAACAGAAATGACCTATTCATTGAAATTTATCTTGGGTTTAACCAAATTCAAAACGAATGAAATTAAATATAAATTTAGTCTGACGATGCCGAAAGGCGAAACAGCTGTCACTAAAAAATTAAAGAATTTCGTAAAATGGTAGGTACATATAAATAATAAAAGACTTGATTATTGTTTGCCTTTGTCGAGATGTTACTGCTTTTTCTGAAACGTATTTTTAGTAGTATATATTTTATAGTTTAATAACAGTATTCGTATTAGATTAACGTCTGCACTTTTACTTTTCTTACTAGTATGTAATTATAATTTGCGAAAATAAAAAATCGAAACAATGAAGAAATGCGCCTAGCTAAAGTTCAATTTACTTCCATTATAAATACTATAATACAGTACAGTGTTGTGCTTGCGGCAAAGACTAAATTATTATGCATGAAAATGCATTAATTTCAACACTACATGTTTGTAGTGAGTATAGGAGACCTAACTTCCATATCTATTGTTCTTCATTGCTGAAGTCCTACATTTATCATTCCGTTGAACTGTAATACGAAGGGTAGCAAAAGATACTAATAACAACAGCTTTTTCCTTTTAAAAAATTGTAAACAAAAGAAAAAATTCTGTTATCAAACATTAAAAGGTCAGATCTTAATGATTACTTAAATTTATTCCAAAAACAAACTTCTATTTCAGTGTTTAAAATTTAATAATCAACTGGAAAAAGCTGACTTATATATGCCTAATATACGATTGGTGAATCATATTAACCATATTGTTAAATCCAATTTAATTTTCACCGTCAATTTTAGGATACTAAAAAGGGACTTTACACTACTGGCAATATTACAGTCCCGGTTATTACCGAAGAAGTCTTTATTCAACCTGTTATTGATGAAGAAGTTTATATTGAATTTAAAAATCGAATTAACATTCAATATATCATATCTACAGTCACTAAATAGATTTGCCAATTTAGAATTTCTAATACTCATATATTCGATTTTCTACAAAATTTCGACAGTCGATTTTTGTATATCTAGATAAATAAAATAGATTTTCTTATTGAAAATGAGAATACGAAGGTAAAAAGTGCATCAATCATAATAAATGGTTAAAACTTTTATCAACAACGATTTCAACAGGCATTACACAAGTTTTCTTTATTATGAACCAATTCCATTTCATTTAAAAACGTCGCATATGAATTTACATATTATACATATTTCAAAATATGCGTTACCATTTATTATCTGAAACATTAATTTTTATTTAAATACTTTAGAAGCCCTAATGCGTCACGATTTTCCACGTTTTTCCACATACGAGGAAAAACAAGTACCGAGTTGTAGAGTCGTGTTGAGCTCAGGCGGTTACATGAAAGACAAACAAAACCAACATGCATTCTATTGCTCCCGCAGGCATTTCCATGTCCGACAATACATATTCCCATACAGCTAACATAACGCAACTTAAAAGCTAATCGCAAGCCATTTTTATCAATGCGATGTGCCCGATTTGGTACAACTAAACTTCGTTTTAATGTCCGCATTCGTTCTTTGTGGTGTATACAGTACAAGTCGCAGTCGTGACTAGAAATAACGTGAATATTCCACAGACACAAACATATNGGTATTAGAAAGAATAGAAGTGGAGAGGGTACTATAGAAGTTAATAACAATTAGGCCAGATATGTTGGTAGGACACCTTCTCAGGTATGGAGGGTTAATTAGAGACATATTAGAAGCAGAAATAGGAGTTAAGAGGAGTAGAGGTAGACCTAGATTATATTACTGTCCACAAATAGAGCAGGATGCGGGACAGCAAATAGTGGTGCGTGTGCAACCTCTCTTAAGACTGATAATGATAAAAAGAAATAAATAATAATAAAAAATAGGAAACAGAAACTTTTACCTTCATCAAACTGTTCCATATTCGCTAGAATTTGCCGAAGAACTATTGCTCGTTGTCCTTAAAGGCGGGGGTGGTGGAGCAGGGCGCAATCGTAGGGGTGTAGGGGAGTAGAACTCTTCGGCATCAGCTTCATCGCACGACGAGGGTGTTGGTGATGCTGAAGGAGGAGATAAAGCTCTGTCATCTTGCTCTTGCAATATTTGGCGAAAATCTTGAATTGATTCGTTTAAGGACCATAGTTGGGAAAGTAACGATAAATCCAGCTGCCGCAGACTGTACTGTAACAAAATAAAAAATAAATTCTGTTAAGTAATATTATATTACCTAATACCTAAAATGACTAATTTGTGTTATAAATAGAAATATACATTTTCCCATTTCTTGAAAAATAATAAAGTTTATACTGGGCGATTGTATTGAACGAGAAAAGGGCTTGGTAAAGACATTTTCTCTTGACATAAAACGGAAAATGGTGGGATATACAAGCATAAGTGTAGCAAGAATTTCAAGAATGTTTTTTTGTATACGTCTCTCTCGTTTAATATTGTTTACATATATCGTTCAGCAAGCTTTTGCTTGGTAAGTGAAAGTTGATCTTGTGAATGACATTTTAACCTGTTGTAATAAAATGGTCGATTAAATGCAAGGAACTAACGGTCACGTGGGAGTGTTTTTTGATATGACAGATCACGTTTTATTCGATTAGATTCAAATGAAATGATTCCGCATTAGAGATCACAATATTACTTATTAATAATAGAATACTTAAGAATTAATAATCACACAAAATACTAATTATTAACAATTACTAAAAATTAGAATAAAAACTTTTTCTGCCGTGCCTGATTGGCTTTGATTATTTTATTATACACTAAAGGGGAAGAAATGGAACACGTTTCACTAAAACTAATTTAATGATTCAAAAAGCACAGAGAATCGATGATCTGATATGGTAACGATCAAGCAATTTTGTAGAGTAGCTACTTTTAGTAATAAAAGTAAAATTCACACACTTGTATTAATAGTACTATTTTCCATTTATTTATTTATTTACAATGTAAATTTTAAAAAATATATCACTAGTTANATACTGAGCAACTCCTAGCAGCTGTGAAAAAATGAAACCTCAGATATTTCATTAAATAAAGTAATAATACCTAAACACAATTATTTTTTTATTCCAATGAAAATTTATCAAGAATTTTATACCTAATTTATTTGAATCAACTGAAATTTGAAACAATTTGAATTTCTGCAGCATAATGATAAAAATGCAGGTACATACATTTTACATGTACGTATAAATTACTTACTTGAAAGCCGCGAAGTTGGTGCTAATCACAAAAAGCACTCGACTACTTTTTTTTTGTAAAATAGTGTGTTCAATGTGCTTAAAAAATTACGAATAATAAATTCAACATTATAATAAATACCACCCTCACTGAGCTTTGCATATTTATTTTAACCCACGCTTATGGAATTCTTTAGGAAAAAAGACTCAAGTTTAATGCTAAAAAAATAGAAAGTTAACTAGCATGTCTTTTTTTAATTAGACAATTAATTTAGATTGCTTCCGGCCTACACAAACATACAAGCACAAGTGTCTGACGAAGGACAAAACTGACTGACAGCAAATTCTGAAAAGGGCGTGTTTCCTCCGACACTTCATTCCATATAAAAACCTGGTTGTCCTTTGTAAAACAGCATTCAACCGATAAAAACGGCATAGTAAAGAAATAAAAAGTGTCATTTATCTAAAGGACACGTGTATTATGCATATAAAACACTTGATTGGACAGGGGACACTTTAGAATAATAACAACAACAACAAACAACAAAATAAAAAATAACTAGAAAGTTAATTTGGTAAAGGTCTAAATGAAAGATGTCACACTCTGGCTATAAAAGATGACCCTGGAGATCGAAAGAAAAGTGGAACGGTCAAAACATTCTTCGTACAATTGAACAACGAAAAGATTGGAGAATTTTCCGTCGAGTATTACAGATTACTACCCTAACGTTTGCCAAAATCTAAAGGTCCTAGAAAACCACATAAAAACGAATTATACACCGGTACAGGTGGTATCTTCCGATTTTATATCGCATGACTTTTTGGGGGTTGATAATTTACCCTTTCATAGAAAACGAGTTTTTCAGATCATAGTGAAAAATTGTTTTTCCGTGATATCATACTTTAATGCTGTAAGGGGAGATAGTTAAAGCTGACAGAAGGGCTAGTACTCATAGACATTCAATCCGCAACAGCCCAAAGGGTTCGAATGGTCGAAAAAAATAATATAAGTATTTTTAAACTTTATGTCAAGGAAAAGAAAGATTTTAGTTACAAAACCCTTGTAAAAAAATTGGGGAGCACCTTTTGTTTGTAATAAGGGTTGTGTTAAGTCCATAATAAATAGTTATAACTTTTATCAACAACGATTTCAACAGGCATTACACAAGTTTTCTTTATTATGAACCAATTCCATTTAATTTAAAAACGTCGCATACGAATATACATATTATACATATTTCAAAATATGCGTTACCATTTATTATCTGAAACATTAATTTTTATTTAAATACTTTAGAAGCCCTAATGCGTCACGATTTTCCACGTTTTTCCACATACAGAGGAAAAACAAGTATCGAGTTGTAGAGTCGTGTTGAGCTCAGGCGGTTACATGAAAGACAAACAAAACCAACATGCATTCTATTGCTCCCGCAGGCATTTCCATGTCCGACAATACATATTCCCATACAGCTAACATAACGCAACTTAAAAGCTAATCGCAAGCCATTTTTATCAATGCGATGTGCCCGATTTGGTACAACTAAACTCCGTTTTAATGTCCGCATTCGTTCTTTGTGGTGTATACAGTACAAGTCGCAGTCGTGACTAGAAATAACGTGAATATTCCACAGACACAAACATATANAGACAAATGAACAAAAATAAACTACTACTGTAACTATGTAAAATTCGTCTTTGCACCTGGTGAGAAACCTCGGCAAACGGGTCATGAATTCAAAGTTCGTCAAAAGCGATGTAACAGGTGCCACTTATTGTTAAACCAAATTCAGAATACGACAGATACTACACACGACTATGCAGATACATACGTACTATGTATGTATGGATAGATATCCTGACATTTATACAGGACAACGTATTATGTGTATGGGTTCGTTTATAGCTGCGGACGCCACATTTGTGATACCTCCGCATTATAATCGACTTTCTTCTTCTATCCAAAACCACATAGGTAATCGTTTTTTTTTTTCTGCGCACACTTTCGCTAATGCATATACACACATACACAATTTATTATACAAAGGCACGCACGATTTCAGCAGATGAAATTTCACGAGAAAACCCAACGTTTCCGACGTGAGAAAAACGTTATTAATGCCCGTAAAATAATCGACTTTAAATCACTTTCACATACACAGTGTCAGAAGAATTTACATCCAATTAATGTTTCAACTTAAAGCTACTTAAAAAAACACAAAGTGTAAAATTTTCAGTATAAGGTCCGTTTTGTTTTGATAAATATGTCACCTGAAACCTTCGCCGAAGAGCATTCAAATAAAAAAATTTTGACCGTCCTTCCTGTTGTTCCAGAGAGTATCCTGCACAACGAAACAACGTTTTCCCTATTTTTTTTAGTACACTAAAATACGTTACAACCAGTAGAACAAGAATATAACAAATAAACGGAAACTTTACTACGTATTTCATTTTAACAAGAGAATGACAAGATTTTTATTTCACAACATCAGGTACCAGTACATCAATTAAGGGCAACTTTGATTGATAAAATTTAATTAGATAATTAAGATGTAAATCGTGAACCGATTTCAACACTAAAAGTAACGAATCGACTAATTGTAACAGTTAATTGTATTGCTGCGGACACCTAACTGAAATCAATTAATGACAATTACACCTTAAGTAGCTAATTATGTATGCATTGTAGATGTCCATCAACGGTTTGTGTAAGGAACAAACAAACCAATAATAAAAATTTGTTCTCTAATTGTCTAAGGCGTTGTCCATAGACCTTTTTATATGTAATAGAGAACAAATACATTTTAAGAATCTTTGAACTGATATTTTTTGTAAACGTTTTCCAATAGTTTTGAAAATAAAAATCAAATCGACTTCTGTAGAACTAAACGAAATAAAATAGTAAAAGCTAAAATTCTATGTAACAACGTAAAAGGAAATCAAAAATTAGTCTCTCTACAGTATGTAACTGACGATAACACTTTAGTTATCAAAACGAATTTTAGATTTTTATGTAGGATTTTGCACACGATACAATTGAGTTCCTTTACAAATGCACTTCTTGAAAACAAAAATATACTCAACACATAATTTTTTTAGATTTTCATAAAGCAGCCATCAAAACAACAAGGACGAGATAAACATTCCATTCGATTAAAATTTCAGGCACTAATATGAAGTTGTCGAAGTATTTCCAATTTCCAAGAATATGACACTTGATCTTAAGCAATTCAGTCAGGTAGAATAAACAAGATATCATCTAATAATAAAGACGTGCATTCCAGAGAAGATTTTTACCTGCTTGGCAATAATGTATTTAAAAATGCCATGTGTAAATAATAACAAAACCACAGGATCAATTTTCCGGTTAAAAACCTTACGATATATCGAACAAAAAATAAATTATATCTGCATTGCTATTTGAACATTTTTACTGTCTGATAAATCGTTAATTACACAGAAAATTATATGGTATTTTATTACTGTATTTGTTGACAAAAACCCATATGAAATACAAAATCTTCACATAGAAGTTGAAAATGTAAATTACAAATCAAGTTCTTTTTCTTTATCTATTTATTTAGTAAATGCAAACAATAGGTTTGCATTTTTCTAGTTCCAAACGTAATACGTGTTATAATTTATATCCGTTACAATATTAAATTTTCATTAAGACGACATTTATGTAGGACCTCAGTTAAACATTAATTGATATAACTAGGCCTGAATGCTGGAAATATGACGGTGACATTTTCATTTAGGAAATTAATTAGGACCACATCACCTACATTTCTTGAGAAATTAACTAGATACAAGATTCTGTAATATACTCGAGCATTTTATTTGGAATTATTAAGGTCAAAAATTCTTCACGTCAACTCAATTTGGTTCTATGGAAATAAATTCAAGTGTAACTAACTGAGAAAGCACTACTTGTACTAATGAGCTCCGAAATTACCTTGAAGTAAAACTTAAAATTAATGAAATGTT